CTTTCAAGACACTGGCTGCCAGGCAGCAAAGACACATGATCTCGGGGCATGGAAGGCAGCCGCGAGCCCGGGGCTTGTCCCCCGCCCTGCCTTGAGAAAGGCTCCAGGCCATCTGGGGAGCAGGAAGTGAGCCTGGTCCAGCGGAGTCCCTGACAGGAAGGTCGCAGGACCACGGGGCAAAGCATTTGAGGAGAGAGAGGAAGAGAGAAACCTGCGGAGGCCCACGGAAGGCTGGGCAGAGCCGTGACCAGCACATTCACACCTGGCCCAAGCACAGCCGTGGGGAAATTGAAGTACTGTACTTGTGCAGGGTTAGGCAATGTGTCTTGCCTAAGACCAGAAAGTCTCAGGACTCACAAGGCAGCAGGTAGAGGACTCAGGAGGGTCTTCCCTCACAAGTGGGGAAAAATTCCTCTGGACTCAATTTCGTTACGGTCCTTTTAAAACAAACATATCTTACAGGCAAGAACTGAAGAGAGCAGACTGTTTCCAAGTACCTTAGATTACATCCAGAACAAAGCTCAAGAATATTTATGAAGGCCAGGTGTGGTGGCACATCACTGTAATCCCAGCACTTGGGAGGCTGAGACAGGAGGACCACTGTGAGTTCAAGGCCAGCCTAGGTTACATAGTGAGTTGAGGACCAGCCTGAAATATGTAGTGAGACCCTATCTCAACCCCCACAAAACAGGAAAAGACATTTAAAAATTCATATAAATTACTCCATGTGTATAAAAACTTGAGTAGGAACATAGGAGGTATGTTTTTTAAAGTCCAAATTAAACTTCTAAAGATTAAAAACTATAATGTATGGGGTAAAAGTCCATTGAACAAGATTAAGAGCATTTTCAATAATCCAGGAAAAAAGATTAGAGAATTTAAAGAAAACAGGAACTATCCACCAGGGGAAGATTTTTTTTAAAAAGAAACAAAGACAGGAAAATCAATGAACTGTGTAACTGCAGGCAGACTAGAATCCATCACTGGGGCCCTTGAAGAAAAGGGAAGGAAATGGGAACGGGAGGGGGGAGGGAGGGGGAGGGGAGGGGAGAGGAAGGGAGGAGAGGAGAGGAGAGCAGAGCAGAGCAGAGCAGAGCAGAGGAGAGATATTTGGAGGCATGCTGGTAATAACTGATAATTGCTGGTCTCACGTGGATCAAGTCATTTATCATTCATTCATCTTCTACTTGCACACATCTGAGTGCAAAAGAAGTACGAAGAAGAAGAAGAACAAAAGTTCTTGCCTTCACTTGTTTATATTCTAGGGAAAGAAGAGGCGCAAAACCCGAAACGGCTAAGTGAGGTTTCTACAGGTGGATCGGGCTCAGTGCCCCTATTTCCCGTGGAGATGTCTTTGCCCCGTGCACTAGAGGGCGCTGAGGGGCGTCCCCGGTCTCCACCCCCTAGAAGCCAGCTGCACCCTCCCGTGGTGACAGCCAGAACCATGCCCAGACACTGCCACACATCCCCAAGAAGAGGGGAACTGGCAACCCATCAAAAGTGAAATACGCCAAGAAAAGAGGAAAAAGTGCCATCAGCAGCAAAAGGCCGTCCTAGGACGGAGTTACCGCAATTCAGATGGTAAAGAAAGACCTTGAAAAATGACAGTCTCCATGGCTCGAAGGTCATAAGGTGGCGCTTTTCTGGGAGGCAGATGTACAGGCTTAAAAAGGCAGGAGCCTGTTGGGCGCATTCAGAGAACTGCAAGGCCGTTGAGGCTACAACTGAGTGACTGCAGGAAAATGAAGGAAAAAAAGATCAGAAAAGAAACAGGACTGGAGGGAAGGAAGGACTTCTCCAGGGGCGAGCAGAGTCCTTCGGTCAGGAGAATGCAGAGAAGCAGACAGACGAGCACAACAGTTACTGGCTACACTCGCTGACTGTGTGGCCTTGGACGCGAGCCGAACACTGTTTGGGCCTCAGTTTCGTCTGTAAAATGCTTTTCAACATCTCCACAAAGATCAAATGAGATGACAGATTGACAAAGGCACCTGACAACTCTGAGATTCTACTGATATAAAGAACATTGTTGAAGAAATAAGGGCGAACCGGGCGTGGTGGCGCACGCCTATAATCCTAGCACTCAGGAGGCTGAGGCAGGAAGATCACTGCAAGTTCGAGACCAGCCTGGGCTACAAAGTGAGCTCAAGACCAGCCTGAACTGCATAGTGAGACCCTGTCTCAAAAAGCCAAAAAAAAAAAAAGAAAGAAAGAAAGATGATGTGGTTTAGACAGATTCTGAATCCGGTACTTCTTCACAAGAAATCTACAGGGAATTTATGAATTTTGCATATATTTATACAGACTCTTCATAAAGATATTTGTTTCCCAACACCTGCGTGTAATTCACCACTTATGTTACATGAGCTGACCCTCGTGGCCAAATGGTCTGGAACATTTAAGATGCTCAGCTCCGGCAGGCTGGAGGTGGAATCTCCAGATTTCTCCCTCTCTAGCTGTGTGAACTTAGACAAGTAACCCAACCTCTCATTCAGTGTTTAAAAATTGTACATTATAAATTTTGCCTCATGAAATTGTTGTCAAGATGAAATGACCCAGGGCTGGGGATTTAGCTCAGTGGCACAGCGCCTGCCTGGCAAGTGCAACATCATGAGTTCGATTCCCAGTACCAGAAAAAAAACAAAAAACAACAACAAAAAGAGATGAAATGACCCATGTTTACTCCACTTATTTGCATGGCAGTGTACAAGTTGTAGAATATTGGATGGTGTATATTATTTCATAATAAATAATCGAGCCCAGGCGTGGTGGTTCACGCCTATAATACCAGCACTCGGGAGGCTGAGGCAGGAGGATCATTGTGAGTTTGAGATCAGCCTGGGCTACAAAGTGAGCTTGAGGCCAGCCTGAACTGTGTAGCAAGACTCTGTCTCAAAAAGACAAAAAAAAAAAAATATATATATATATATATATAAAATGATATATGAAGATTTAACAAACTTGTTCAACTTACACTGTCTTAGAAAAGAGCACATCTCACTGTTGGTAAACAGTCATTATAGCAGTTGGGATAGTCTCCCTGTATCTGTTTACACATGATTTCCGGAAACTACAGTCTCCAGAGGTCGGGGTGCCTGTAGGCAATGCTACCATATTCTACTCTCCATTATGGAAGGAAGTAGCAAAAACAGACAGAAATGCCACATCTTCTGTGAGCCCTTCACACTGGGCATTGTTAAGAATCCCTGTACAGAAACGCAAAGGTTTCCTTCCGTTTTCATCCAAGTCAGGGAACTGGCAGCCCTGGAGGTGGGGAGACGCCCAAGAAGTCAGACAAGAGGGCCTTGGGATAAAGGAGAAGACTTCGCAGGGGTGAAGGAGCTGGGAGGTGGGGAGGGGAAGGACCCTCAGGCCAGGAGGTGAAGGTCGGGTTGGGCTCGCTCACCCCACCCCCTGGCAGAGCAAGTTCCCTGGTGTCAAACCACGGTCCCCAGGCTGCTCCTCCTGCCCTGGACATAGCTGAGGTCTCACCTGCCAGCCCTGCCGATGCACCAGACACATGTTGAAACCCAGAGATAACTGCAGGAAGTCTGCCCAGTGAGATCTTCCATGCTTTGCAAGAAAATTTATCAAGTTTTAAACACTTGACCCAGAAATATCACTTTTGGTAGTTTGTCCAAAGAAAATAGAGATGCATATGAAAGATTAAAAATAAAAGCGTGGGATGCCCATATGAACATTGCTGACAGCATCCTAGATGTAGAAGTATGAACACTATAAATGCCCATCGATCATGATATCGGACCCTAAACAGTGTCATAGCTGGATGGTGCCAAAAACGCACAGTAGACGCACAGAATGGCATGGCACAGCTCATAGCGGGGGAGAGATGATTCTGTTCTTTTTTTTATGTAAGAGCCGATATGAGCCGTGCCTCTGGCGTCTGCAATCACAGGGGCGTGGGGACAGGCTGACATCAGTCAAGGCAGCACAGATGCTGTGCTGGGGAAGGCAGGAAAGGGAGGGGACTGTGGCAGAAGACAGCTCTCCATGGATGTTTAGAGATTTGCTCTCAGAAAAGCAGACACTCAAGACTTGAAAGGTGGGTGGAAATCACCAGCGGGCACACAGAGCAACAGAATGTGCCAGACAGAGAGCCCGAAGGTGGAAATAGCTTAAGAAATGTTTGAGAAACTCTGGAGGAACCCGGATAGATAAGTGGAGAGGAGAGAGAGTGGGTAGAGGGGGAGACCTGCCTTGCTGTACACTTTGAAGACACAGGGGAGCCTGTGTAGGGTTCGGGCCTGGCTGCAAGGCCTGGGGCGGCCACTAGGGGCAGTAAGGAGTAGAAGAGGGGTCTGATGGGTAAAGCGCGGTTTGAGGATTTCAGAAGGCAAGCAGTCCGGGCAATGGGCCACAGCTGCCAGGAGGGAGACAGACCACAGAGCGTTGGCCCAGAGCCATGGGCGTAAAGACGGGACGAGGAAGACGATCCAGCCCGCGCCCTGCCCTCCTGGGCGAGTCAGAGCAGAAAACCTCCCCCATCACATCACTGGCCCCCAAAACTCCGGATCCCAAAGCAGAATGGCTGTTGTAAATCACCAGCACTTTTTCTTTGCGGTTGATGTGATTCACTTTTGTGCGGGTTGTGGGAAATCCTATACAGCCGTCTTCGTGATGATGTACAAATCATCACACAAGGAGGCCACAAAGGCAGAAAATATCGGCGTCCTCTACACCCTCTTTGCAGAGTTGGGAGAAAAGGGGTTTTGTCTGGAAGGCGCCGAGGACTGCTGTGTTTATCACCCTCTGGCTCGGAACAATGTCCCTCCAACCGACTGCAAATGCTGAACATGTCAGAAAGAGCGGGGAGGGGAGGAAGAGGGCCTCATAGGCGCCTCATTGTTCTTCAGGCCCGTGGGCAGGAGAAGTATGGTTGGAATTAGGGGGTGAGAAAGAAAGGGGTGTGAAGCAGAAACAGGACTTTGAGAGTCCACACTCAACAAGTTGCACCTGTGAAAACCCTGTCTTGCTCCTAGGATATAGGTGACAGCCAGGAGGCAGAAGGACAAGCAATTGAAGCCTTGCCCTGCTCTGTCCCTGGGGACCCAGAAGAGCTGGAGATTGCAGAGGAGGGCCCCCCGACAACAGAGACAGCGGAGAGCAACACCTCCATCATGAGCTTCTTCAAAACTCTGGTAAGTAGTTCCCTCTCTTTCTCCCCAGTACCACTGTCGGAAAGTGGTGCTGATTTTAAGACATATATTTGAAGGTTGTTGCACTGGGTTACTATCAGAGTGCCAGTGGATTCTCAAAGGACAGGGACAGGATGTGGCTCCTGGGGAACTGAGTTCATCAGGCTTTTGGCGAGAACACTCAGTGTTGGGAGCCATGACAGGATCAGGGGCTCCCAAACCAGGCAACATGGCGGTGTATGGTAGTGGAATTCCTTTGCGGTTAAATGTCTCATGGTCATCCATCATAAGTAACTGGGAAATACAACCTTGAGTTGTTGACCTAACAAAGCAACTTTGCCATCCAAATGGCAAATAAAACATTGTAGAAATCACTTTCAATCTTGTTCCATCTACCACTTTCATTGGAGGGGGTAGAGACTACGTCTTTGGATTTCTTGTTCATCTCTGGCCTTCCAAGGGAGAGCCCATAAGCACACACATGACAAAACTCAAAAGAGAGCTGAGTGAATGAATGAATAAATGAATACATAATTAACCAGCTCCCAATATGTCAGACCTATACGCAAACATCAAGACTAACTCCAAAAGATATAATGAAAAAAGCCAACAGAAGGTGCCACAAACATCGGAGGGTTGCCACATGCTCAGAACAATGGTAGAACTCAGAAAAAGTCTGTGACCTTCCAGAGGAGAATTTTGAATGTGGTCAAACTTTTGGTGAATATATAAGATCTGATGTGTTTCATTATAAAATACTAATTTTGTTAACTTTTGTTACCCAGAAGTCCTTGGACTTCTACTAAACTGAAAGTACTCATTTCCTTCTTTGTTAGTATGATAAACTGGACCCCCTCAAGAATTGTATGTCTGTGAAATAAAGATCACTTTAAAAAGCTATAGCTTTTAATACTTGGTTTTCTCAAACTTTTAAGGTTTCACCTAACAAAGCTGAAACAAAGAAAGATCCAGAAGACACGGTAGGTGGTGTGAATTGCCTATGTACCAGTGTGTGTATGTATGTTTGGGCATAGAATTGGATTCAAATCTGTCTGCTTGTTTGCTTCCGGAATAATGCATGTATCATATGTACATATGTGTGTATCACACATATATACATATGTTGTATATATACATGCACATATAATATTAGCAATTTAATACTGCTCTTGGATTGTCTTTAAAGTATTTCATCTAGGTAATGGTATTTTTTTTTTTTTTTTTTTGCGGTACTGGGGATCGAACTCACAACCTTGCGCTTGCCAGGCAGGCACTTATGCCCCTGAGCTATATCCCCAGCCCCTTAGGTAATGGTATTTCAGTGAAAACTTAAGTAGAAGCTTAAAAGCTATGCCAAACTCTTTCTAACTAATGTCAGAATAATCAATTTCTTATATAAAATAAGAACAGAATATTGATAATTATATCATCATGTTAGTCTTTTAAGTTGCCTGTAGAGAAACCTACAGGCAAGCTTAATAAAACTGACTCCCCTTAAAGTAAAAAGAAGCTACTATGGTTTTAATTCCCACTACTTAGGAAACAAAGATAATATTACAAGTATGAAGCCAGCCTGGGCAACTTGACGAGACCCTGTCTCAAAATGTAAAAAATGAAAAGGACTAGGGATATAACTCAGTCTGAGGCCCTGGGTTCAACCCCCAGTACCACAGAAAAAGAAAAATAAATCTTCTTTGCTTTCGTGTAATTTGAAGGGGAAAAAATCTATGCTGCAAAAGTAATTCTGAAATAAAATGGCTGCCATGAGCTATCTGCCCAATGGAGGGCTGCACAGAGCAGTCAGACACCCTCCTGGATTCTTCACTGTCTTCCTGGCAACTCAGCCAGTTCCCCTCAGAAGAAGTTGAGCTTGGAACAACTTCATTCTTGAAGATGTTTTCCCTTTACACTTGACAGGACCAGTGACCTTAGTAGGGCCCATGGTTGAAATTTCCCAGAATACCTGAGAGCAGTTTAGTTTGGTGACAGTGTCTTGCATTCTTTCGATAACTGAAAGTGCTTTGCAATACACTGGGATCAGCTGAGTGGCTGAGCCAGCCCCAAACATCTGCTACTTATACTTGAAGGGGCTGAGCTGTGAAAAAAAGAAGTCCTGAATTTTGTTTCTGAAGACCTGTGTTGGTGCTCCAGTTCCGTGACTTGATAATGTGATTCTCAACTTTATGAACACACGGTCTCCACACTCACAAGACTGAGACCTTAAAACTTCTCTCCCATAGACCCTAGGATTGAATGAAGGTGTGAAAACATCTTATAAACCGCAGGGTTCTGTTCAAATGTAGGTATTGCCCATTCCTATTTTCCTGTGCAAGTTAGATTTGCTGCTGTGAGTCCATTTGTAGTGGATCGATTGCTTGCTCTAGAATTTTCTTCTCCACTGAAAAATCTATTTCCAAGGTATCTGTATGCATTGTCCTTAAAATGCTTCATCTACTACAAGGCAGCTAGGGTCAAGTTCAGTGAATGATTGGGTCAAAATGTTTCTCTTTGGATTCTGTGTTTTGCATTGTTTGAAGGCACACAGTCAGCACAGCAGAGTGTAAACAGTGGGGGATGTGGGTGTGGTGTGTGACTCCCCAAGTGACCGGCTGCGGTCATTCTCCCCAGCTGGTGTGCCCCAAGCCCCTGCCACAACCTAACTGAAAGTGGCTCTAATGAATATATCTCAATGACCAATTCTCACTGTCCTGTGCAAGGGGGGAACCTGGGTCTCGGGTGAAGGATTCTGAACGTAGGTTACCCGTCATACCTGTTCTCATACCTTGCCTCACTGGTATCTTTTCCTACTGAAGTTATGGATCTTTACTCTTTGAAAAGTCTGTATATATATTTTTTTTAACCACATTGCACACCCCATGCACAGTATCAGCCCATTTGTGATAACCATTTGCAGTGGTTGTAGCTGAGCTAATTCATTCCCAGTCTCCTCCGGTCTTGACGTGGAGAGATTGGCTCACCTGGAACCGTCCTTTGCCAGAGCTCCACCCATCAATCAAAGTCCACGCCCTTGATGCTGCTTCCTGAGGTTTCCAATGCTGAACCAAAGGAAATCAGTCTGAGCATGGAAGCCCCTCAGATGCAGTATCTTTTTTATTTTTCATTTGGATATTTTAAGTTATGTATTATTAAACATCTGGTTGCTATCTTTAGCAAATAGTGATGTGGGTGGGGTTTGGTTTGGTTTGGTTTGGTTTGGTTTGGTTTGGTTTGGTTTGGGGGTATACTTGTTTCAAATCTGTTTATCTAAATTATTTAAGAAGGTCACCCTGTTGAAAATCAGTACGCACCTGAAATTGACTTGAATGTGCTGTTGATAGCCAGGTGGGTGGTGCACACCTGTAATCCCAGCACTCTGGGAGGCTGAAGCAAGAGGGTCACAAGTTCAAATCCAACCTGACTAACTTAGCAACTTACTGAGACTCTGTCTAAAAATTTAAAAAAAAAAAAAAAAAAAAAAAAAACCTCAGGCTCCCTGGGTTCAGTCCCCAGTACTGCAAGAGTAAGTAATTATTAAAAAAAAAAAAAAAAAAAAAAAAAACATGCTTTTAAAAAGGGGCCAGGGGTGTAGCTCCTTACAAAAACCCTGGTCTCAATTTCAGTACCCCAAAAAATGCTGTTTAGTAAATTGTCTTTGAGGACTTAAAAATCCTAAACGTTCCCAGGGTGTCCAGCAGTTCATTGTCGCAGTGTATTAATACCTTTTAAGACAACAGGAAAAGGAATGGGTTTTGTTGAACAACAAAGCTCTAAGCTGTGACCACTGTTGCCCAGAAGGCATCCAAAGCAGAAAGCATCTGTGACGGCCAGGTTGGTCAGAAGATGTCCGAGAGCCAGGGGAAGGGCAGCAAGAAGAAGCACCTGGACAGCCCCAGGCTAGGACTCGCCTTTAGAAAGTTCTTTAGACATCAGGTTTGTATGTCGTTCTACTAGGAGGGACAGAACCCTGGTCTTCACCATGCAGGCCAGGATGTCCCGGGCCCACCATGCTCTGCTTTGAGCGGGACAGAGCCTGGGGATGCCATCGGTACAGGGGAATTAAAGGGGATGTGACACAAATCTCTGTGGATTCGTTTAAGGGTCCACAGTTACATACCTCAGACCAGCTTCTTCCAAGTGTCGACCAGGGTTCTGAAATTATTCTTGCTAAGTGTTTCCCAAACGTTGCTCATTTGCATACCACCTTCATCACTTTTGTTCGATATACTGTTAATCACTTGGTGCTTTTTCTGCTGAAATTGGCCATTTTCTATTTAAATGTATCTTGAAAAGAAACTTTATATTTCATCCTATATAGAAAACCAGACTTGTTCCTCAGAAGAGGAAGATAACCATCCAAAATAGTGAGTAGAAAGGACAACATTCTCACCACCTCGTTTGTGTTGAGCCCTGAGTCCAATGCGCAACGGTCGTTTTAAAAAACTTTCTGACTGTATTTTAAAAAACAATTGGCCGTTGGTGTGGAAATATTAAAGTTAAGAAGGACCAAACTGAGCTTTTCCCTGGAACGTTGTTAGACAGAAAATATGAGAATTGGAAAAGGAAAGGTATTTTCACTATCCGAATGCTACTTAATGCTGGATTTCTATGCAACCTAAAACCATCTCAGGGCCGGCGGTGGTATGCTGCCCGCACTTTGGGAAATACTCCACTAACCCCAAGATAACAATTTTACCTTTGTGTTGTCTGTTCCTTCACTCCCAGTATTAACTAAGCTTATACTAAACCCACGTAAAAGCCTAAGCAGGAGAAAAAAGAACAGTGAATAAAGACAGAGCATGTTCTCCATGTCGTGAGGAAGTTAGGACAAAATAAAGTCAGCTTGGGAGATGCCACTCTTCTAATACCCAAGAAGACACCAGTGTGTATCTGAAACCATCCATTAAAATAATTTCTGAATTGGATCTGCATGCTTGGAAATTTGTTTGAAAGGTCAACCATTTTCCACCAAGTTGGATGAACTTATTAACAAACTTTCCCAACTGGATAGTCAGTTTGGGGGTTCAGCGTGCAAATAAAAGTTCCATATAGGAAGCACTCATTGGTGAATTTATTTTTGCACAAACAATGTTATGGAGCCATCCTTCAGTTTCCATGCAGGCTTATTTTGTTCTGTAAAGAGAGAAAAAGAGGAGTGATGGATAGTGCAATAGGAGAGGGAACATTAAAAAGTAGTAAGCCACTTTGGTATGTGGGAGACAATTTAGTAACTGCTAGTGAAGTATGTCATAGACTCCTACAAACGCTCACTGGGAGTTATGGGTAAGGGACCTGGAGAGTTGAAGTGTATGACATACCTTCTGCCCTACTCTGGCCCCAGGTCACAGTTTCATTACAACGTTCATTTTGTGCACTACAAAACCTCACATCTGCAGTAACTCTTTCTATTCATAAATGGACCACCCAAGTTCAATGTTATTGTTCTTAGAATTTCCAAAATCTTTGGCCCCACTTTCTGCCACCAAGGTATATTTGGAGAAAGGATAGGACTCTGGACTCCTAGGAGGAGGTAGAGGGGGACCCTTGCCTGTACGATCCATGGCTTTAGGTCTTGCCTTGAGTTATATACAGCATATGGGGTTTTTTTTTAATGTTGATGTAAATTAAAATACTTCCAAACTCTCTCTTATGCATCGCTTCAGCAGAGCGCGTTGGTTTTTGTTTTTGTACTTAGGACAGTTTATTTCTTTTTGTCTTTTGATTATTTCTTTGTCTAGGAAACATGAGTGATTAAAAGGATTAAAAGGATTATTTCTAGGAAAATGAGTGATTAAAAGGATGAAGCAAATTCTCTCAGAGATGCTCCTTGCACATTTGTGTGAGGATGACCCCTTCCAGTTCCCCCAGGGGTTGTAATGTAAAACAAAAAAGGGGGAATCAGTACAAATTCAAGGATGAAAAGGGAAAAAAAACAAACTTTCTACTTTCCATTCCTGTTAAAAAAAAAAATACAATGGTTACCAATTCTGATTGGTCTCTGGGTTTCTCATCTCAATTTTCCTTCCTGTAAAAGGTTTTTTCTTCATTTAAAAAAATAAAACAAGAAAGGCTGTCATTAAAAATGAAATAAACTTAAGTCATAAATAACAAGAGCACCAGTTTTCCTTTGCTGAAACTGCATGTCTGTTTTTACTTTAATCCCGCACAATGCCTCAGAGTCAAACGCTCAAACAGACGCCCATGGTCCAGGGTGAAGAGCACCCAAGGTGAGGCACTGTTCTCAGATGGACTTGAGGCACTGCTTTAAGATGTGTCTACCATACCCAGAAGTGCTCGTCTCCCTGCCAGGGTTTCCCGGTGTCCACCCTCTCAGCAAGGCAGCCAGAGTGTTCATTAGCAGCTGGCCCAGGGGATTCAAAAGCTCTGCCACGGTCATTGTTTTTGGTTCTTGTTGCAATGTTTGCATCACCCTAACACCGCATCTCCCACACTCGAAAGCACAAGCATGGTGAAAACCCGTTCAGAAGGTAAGTCATGTGACACATGTGCTCCAAATCTAGTATATTAGCATTTCATGGGTAGGGTCACCGCATAAACCACAGAGTACCCAGTTATAGTCACGTTTCAGATAAATAAAAACATAATTTTTGTAGGAAGATATGGCCCAAATATGAAATATTTGGGACATACTCAGGCTAGAAAAGAATCTTTTTTTAGCCTGTTGGAAATCCAAACATAATGAGGCTTTTTCTATGCTCGTCTTTATTTCCAACCTGGCAACTCTCCTCATGAGATTGCCTCTGAAAACGTGGTTAGAGTTTCTGTAGTTTCTTCTGTGTTGTAAGCAAAGAATATTAAGCGGGCTAATGCTGGCAGAGCACCACCGGACCGAGGACTTGGGGAAGGAAGGAGAGGAGAGCGGTGGGTGGAGAATGAAAAGACAAATGGTGCTCAGACTGGGACTCCATGGCCAGGCCGGAAGTAGTAGGCGGAGGGAAGCAGGCAGGGTGGGACTGTGTGTGGGTAACCCTTTTTGGTCACTTTCATGTATTTTTAGCTAGTTAGTTAGCTAGGTAGTTAGTTAGTTAGTTAGTTAGTTAGTTAATACCTGTTTTACTCCAGGCACTGTGCCTGACAGGAGCTAGAAATGCAATCATGACCCAGACCGTCTTCCCTCAATGGACTCGAAGGCTAGCGTGGAGACACAGTGAACAAACAACTGCACACAGACGTTAGAGTTCTATTATGTGACTATAAATACAGTACAGTCATCCGCTTGTCATATTTTTGAGGGTCTCTGGCTCCCTTCCTGTGAAGAGAAGAGAATTGGCCATTTCTAAGCACAAGAGGGCAGTGTAGATGTCCCTCCCAATCTTTCTCATGGTCAGCTCCCTGCCAGGGAGCCTTCTTGGGTGTTTTTCCACGAATCACCTTTCTCCCAGTGGAATTTTAATGCTAAACATATGCTATGTGTATGTGTTCATGACATAAGACCTTTTGGATGGGCATGGACCATGTTAGCATCTAATTTTTATAGCACCCCACCCAGAACAAGGGCCAGTTCTCCCCACCTGGGGGACAACAGCGGCTTTATTTAAAATGGTGATGCCAATTCCATCCCTCGATGAATGGGACAGACTTGTGGGCGCAGAGCCTGGTTAACTGACAACAGTGTTGTACAGAGCTGCTATTGATGCTTGGGTGTGGGAACCAGGCTCCCTGATTCAGTGTAAGCTCTCACCCCTCATTAGTGTGATCACAGCAAGTTACTTCCCCGCCAGATTTCCCTGTCTGTAAAATGGGTGCAATGATTGGTTCCTTCCTCACAGGACTGTTGGAGCAGCCGAGTGCCTGGCACTATTACCTTTCATTAGTAAATCAAAGTTTACAGTTGGAAATTTTGTCTTAAAAGATGAGAATGGCCCAAAGGCACACACAGGAGTAGAGGCTCAGTGGCAAAATGCCACACATGTCAGGCATCGGGTAATAGGCTGTCCCAGACACACTCTAGAGCTCTGCAGAACTTTTTTTCTTGTAGCCTCCATATGAGTGTGGGTGAGCGGCCTTGCGTGGGGTGAATCTACAGCCTGGAAAGTAGAAAAAGCAAAGCCACAGGAGTTAAATCAAACAACCTGAAGTCATGCTGCAATTGAATCTCTGCATGGTGCATGGCCTTAACTGGACTGATGATTGGTTGAAGCCAACAATAGCCCTTTCTTAGAAATGAAATAGGGTCAGCCCCAATCTCCCAGATGCATGGTCTGAAATGGACCCCTGGGCAAATGGGAATTCTCCCAGCAAAAGCAGAAGAAGTGGATGCTGGGTAGTTAGCAAAGCAGAGAGGTGGATGCTGGGTAGTTAGCAAAGCAGAGAGGTGGATGCTGGGTAGTCAGCAAAGCAGAGAGGTGGATGCTGGGTAGTCAGCAAAGCAGAGAGGTGGATGCTGGGTAGTCAG